TAACATTGTAACTATATTATTTTTAAAAATTAATAAAAGTATATACAAATTAATTAAAATTGATTAATAATAATTAAATTGCAATTTAGATAAAGTACTAAATGAAAAAAAATCTATGAAAAGTATGATTAAACAAAATCTTAACATTATACAAAATTATTACATTTTCAACCATATTTAGGTTTGACTTGACAGTGTTATGTTGTATTTGTAGATTTTTTTCTTTTACTATCCTAAAAATTTTAAAATATTAATTAAAATTAGTAAAAATATATTTAAAAATCAATTAAAATTAACAAATTTACATTTTAGACAAAGTACTATTGACAAAAATGTTAGAATAATGGTCATATAAAACCTTAATTTAGCCATTAATAATAACTAATAAATGATATTCTATATATAGTTATTAGCAATTATTATTACTTATAATTTAAATGTCCTTATTCATCTGATTAAAGAAAATATGTATTAATTATTTCTTAATAACTATCCATTAAAAATAATATTTCTTAATAACTCAATCAAATATGGCCTGAATTTTTGAAAACTTCATATTAACTTTCAATTATATTAATAGATTGAAAAAGTTAAAAAGAAACCAACAACTAAAATATTCAATAGTGATTTTCTATTATTAAAAGTAAGAAATCATAAGCTCAAGTTTTATGATGTGTGAGTAAGGTAAATTATGAAATAAGAAAGAGTTAACTCTTATTGTGTAACTTAAGATAAAAAAAAATGTCAAAAAGAATAATTTAACGAGAAATTAATACTAATAACATATAACAATAAGATGACCCAAATGGTTATCCAGAAAAAAGACAAATAAAAATAAATAAAAAAAAACAAAGGTTTGGTTAAAATGATTGTGTGCATTGAATACTAAAGAATATTGAAATTAATTATTAATTAATATATGCTTATTAAATTAACAGATTTTGAGTTTTTTTCTTCCCTTGTTTTGTGGAGCCATAAACACAATTTAAAAAAAAAAAAGAAACAAGAAAAAAGGGGAAACCATCACACTTAACGATCCAAGATGTTTACGTGAGATGGGAGTTATAAACGGCGTTAGTGTGGTGTTAGGGGACGGAGGTAAATGTAATCAAAAGTTAGAGTAGAGGGAAGATTATGGTATGGTTTGGAAGAGTATAGAGAGGACTTTGAAGGATTTGTAAATATAGGGAGTACAATGAATGAAAATTGAAAGTACAACTTACCCGTAATAAATACAAAAACCTAAAGCCAATAAACTAAAATTTCTCTCTCTATCTTTCAAAGGTCATCTTCTCCCTGCTTTCCTCCTACGAGTATAATCCTACAACAAGATAATCTTCTCAACGGTTTCAAAATCCACGATCTCATTCTCACTCTATTGTTACTCTCTGACGGCTCCATCACTATGATCTGATAAAACCCAATTTCTTCAAGGTAAGCAATATTTATATATGTATATACATAGATATATATAATATACATATATAGAGGTGGATTTCTTGAAATTGATGATTGGATACTTCCGAATTTGATGACTCACCACACAAAAACTCACTTTCTTCCGATGTACCCAGATGCCCTGATGAAACTGGTTGGGTTTTCTATCACCAAATCTTCTTAAATTATACTAAATGAGATTTGTATATTTTTTATGTATTTTTTTGGTTTAATTTGGAGTTTTGTCTGTTATGATGGAGTTTAAAAACGAAAAACAAAAAAGGATTTTCTATAGGACAGGATAAGGTTTTAAATGCACTCTTTTATAATTAATGTATATAAAAAATAATATTTTAAAAGTTAATTTAAATTTAATTATTTAATTAATTAAAATTATTTATGTGATAATAATACTAAAATAAAAATTAATTTTTATTATTTTTTGTTGTAAATCAAATGTAAAAAGATGCATTTATAAGTATATTTAGTGTACATTAACCCATTTTTTAGTGTATAAATTAGACAAATTCAAAAAAAAAAAAAAGTGATAAATGGTTAAGCATTAGAATGGTAAAATTGTATTTTAAATCTATTTGTCCCTAAAATTAAGAGTAATTAATTGATTTCCTTGACCCTCGTGAAATAAGCTAAAACGATTAATAAGATGGGATAGAGGGAGTATATTGTAAGTATTGTTTTTGTTATAAATAGCAGAACATCAATAGACAAAAAACAAGAGTTTTCACCACCCAATGAGAAGGAACTCGGGGCATCTCTCCTTTTCCTCCAAGTCCTCTCTCCACCCTTTCCATAAAACCCCAACATGAATCATTATCAATCAATAATCACAGTAATCCCTCTCAATTATTGAATGAAGAAATTATCTAGGCTGTCTTAATTTTGGGCTGTGCTGGTGTCGTCAGTTCATTACATAAAGAACCATTAAGACCCTAATTCAGCAAAACCAATAAAGCAACATCATCTTACTTCTTGCTCTGTTCTTGTTGAATTCTGTCCAAGATGAAGCCATTCAAGCTTAAGCTTCCAGAAATTTCTTTGTTTTTTGTGATTCTATGTTTCACACACGTGATAGCAGAGCAATGGAGAAAAACTTACATAATCCACATTGAATTTTGTCCAAGATGAAGCCATTCAAGCTTAAGCTTCCAGAAATTTCTTTGTTTTTTGTGATTCTATGTTTCACACACGTGATAGCAGAGCAATGGAGAAAAACTTACATAATCCACATGGACAAGACCAACATACTGGAGAGCTTCACCGACCATCTCCAATGGTATGATTCATTGTTGAAATCTGTTTCGGACTCAGCATCCATGCTTTACATTTACAGCAACGTAATCCATGGCTACTCCGCGAGGTTAACGGCTAAGGAAGCTGAAGCACTCGAAGAGCAGCCGGGAATTCTCTCTGTAATTCCTAAAGTAAGATATGAACTGCATACTACTCGGACCCCGGAGTTTCTTGGGTTGGAAAAGGGTAGTGTGGTATTCCCCACATGTGAGTTGGCAAGTGATGTGATTGTTGGTGTGCTGGACTCTGGTGTTTGGCCGGAGCTAAAGAGTTTCAATGACGAAGGGCTTGGGCCAGTACCAGAAAAGTGGAAAGGCGAGTGTGAGGTGGGAAAGACCTTCAAATCGTCTAGTTGCAATAAGAAACTGATTGGTGCGAGGTATTTTTCCAAAGGGTATGAAGGAGCAGTCAAACCTATTAACGAAACTGTAGAATCAAAATCGCCTAGAGATGACTACGGACATGGAACTCACACCTCAACAATGGCGGCTGGGTTGGCTGTTTCCGATGCTAGCTTATTTGGTTTTGCTTCAAGGACAGCACGAGGGATGGCTACAAAAGCTCGAGTCGCCATTTACAAGGTGTGCTGGCTTATCGATTGTTTTGGGTCTGATATTTTAGCCGCCATGGACAAGGCAGTCCAAGACGATGTGGATATCATGTCCTTGTCTCTCGGTGGACAAGTATCAAAGTATTACAAGGACATCATCGCTATCGGAGCATTCTCGGCGATGACACATGGAATTCTTTTATCTTGCTTAGATGGAAATGGTGGGCCCTACTTAAGTAGTTTGTCCAATGTTGCACCATGGATAACTACAGTAGGTGCCAGAACTTGGACTGTGATTTCCCCATCTCTGTTACTCTAGGAGACGGTAAAACATATTCGGGTGTCTCACTTTACAATGGAAAGACAATATCGAATTCCATGGTGCCAATTGTTTATGCCGCCAACGTGAGTTCAAGCAACAACAGCCTTTGCTTCCCTAGAACCTTGAGTCCCGCTAAAGTTGTTGGAAAAATCGTGGTATGTGATCGAGGGGGCTCAAGGGTGAGGAAGGGATTTGTTGTGAAAGAGGCTGGCGGAGTTGGGATGATTTTAGTAAACACAAAATTTTTCGGGGAAGAGCTTGTCGCCAGTGCACATATCTTGCCTTCATCAGCAATAGGGGAAAAAATTGGAGATGCTATCAAGAAATACATCTCTACTGAGACTAATCCGACAGCCACAATTGGCCTCAGAAGCACGAAGTTGGGGCGTTCAGCCATCTTCGGTGGTGGCAGCATTCAGTTCAAGAAGTCCAAATCCTATCACATTGGAGATACCTAAACCGGACATTATTGCCCCGGGCGTCAGTATATTGGCTGGGTGGACTGGTGCCGCTGCCCCGACAGGATTGGATGAAGACAAGAGGCGGGTAAACTTCAACATCATTTCAAGCACGTCAATGTCTTGCCCACATGTAAGTGGGATAGCCGCTCTCCTCAAGGTTGCCCATTCGGATTGGAGTCCAGCAGCTATTAGATCCACCCTCATGACCATCGCCTACTCAGCATGCAAAAATGGCAAAACCATCCAAGATGTCTCGACTAGACAACCAACAACACTGTTCGATTATGGTGCAGGGCATGTGGATCCGATAGAAGCCCTTGATCCTGGCCTTGTTTATGACACCACCGTTGATGACTATCTGGACTTCCTTTGTGCCTTGGGCTACTCATCAACTCATATCAAGCGAGTCACAAATAGACACTTCACCCGTGATTCAAGCAAAAATTACTCACTAGCAGATTTCAATTATCCGTCCATTTCAGTTCCTCTTCAAAGTGCTTCAGGAAAGAAGGGCGGTGCCAATGTCACTAGCGCGTTGAAATATTCTAGAACTCTGACTAATGTGGGTTCGCCTGGAACATATAAGGTTTCGATGGTTTCACCACCAAAAACAGTGAAGATCTCGGTTGAACCAGCATCACTATGTTTCAGTAGACTGAAAGAGAAGAAGAGCTACACCGTGACTTTCACTACTAGTTCCATGCCATCTCGAACAGCCCGCTTTGCTAGTCTGGCATGGTCGGATGGGAAACACACTGTAACTAGCCCGATAGCCTTCACCTGGACATGATAGTGATGGCAATTGCAACAGATGATGACTCTCCAAATACTGGACCGCCTCAGTGCCTGCAAAGCACAATCTCTCTCTCTCTCAATTGTACTCTTCACATTGGACCAACTGTGCAAGCAAGGCCATTTGTGTGTGTAACAAAACTCCGAGAAAATCAGGGGATAAAACAACTTTAAAAAGGGTTGGGGGGGGTTGCAAATAATTGTACAGTAACCCATGCTAGGGACTGGCATGTGAATTTTAGACTGAATACCTAGGATTTGTAGCTAAACTTGCATTGAATTCTCATCTTTCATGGTTGCTGATTTCATAATTTGTGCCTATAAGAAATCAAGGAATCAAGGATTGTTGACATACTATAGATCTTGAGTTTCCTTCATAAGTCAGTATAGCAGTAGCTAGTCGAAACAAATATAAGGAACAACAGCACCTAAAGACATGATTATGGACATATGCTTGGGGGATGTTGGAAAACTTCGACGCTAAGAATAAAGCAACAAGCTAAATTTCACCAACATATAATCAAATTTTAAAACAAAACAAAACAAAACAAAGATTAAATTGAAAACTGTCTAGCATTCGGCAACATCTATTAATGCATCTCCTACAAATCATGTCAGTTTATGGTGAGTTTCAGGAGACGGAACTCCAATAGCATGTGTTTGCATTCCAGTATTGTGCATCTAGAATGTCAGTAGAAGTGACACGTCTATGGATAAAAATGGGAAGCTTCTCCTTTAAGGAATTAGTAACTCTATTTAAAACTGTCAGTTATAGCAAGATCAGTTGAGTGACTGGTGATAAACTCAGGACTTATGTAACAGGCTGATGCTGCTTGTGCCTTTGTAATTCATCCAGTAGGCTGCAGCACAATCTTTGTACAAGAAGATCAATAACAGATAACAAAAGACATCTCATGGTCATTTGACACTAGCATTCTTCAGTACCAATTCCAGCATTGCAGTTATGCTGAAATCATTCAGAGTCCTGTAGAGACTGACAAACAGGAAAGTAATACGTATCAAGCTGCCAATACTTATGTCTGACACCTTGCCAAACTTCTTCTCCCAAGCAATCCTTGACAGGCAGGGGAATTAATTGTGTTAATTAGCCCAAATTCTCAAGTTCTAGGGAAACTAGATGGCAGTAAACAAGATGGAAGAATGCATTACCTCCACAAAGGCCAGTGAAGAATGAGTATATTCCTCCAGGCTTCAATAGCTTAGGAAGATGCTATGAAACTCCCTTAGATTTTCATAATATTCTCCATATGCGTCAAAGAAAATACCTAAATGGATTGAAAGAGTTAGAAAATATACTCTTGCAAATGAACTAACCTCATGCTAGGAAATGCCAACTTTAGCATTTAAAGAATTAAAATAAAACTTAAAGTAGTAAAGTCAGTTTCTTTAGTTCCTTTAGACTTGAAGGCCTTAGACTTGATGGCCAAAAAAAAAAAAAAAAAGGTTTTTTTAGCCTTCAACAGAACTTAATTTGGAAACAAGCATGACCACTATATGTTAGACTTCTAGATGTCACTTTTACAAATTCTTTGTGTTCATCAGTTGTGGACAGCCTATAAATATATATATATATATTCTTGGATCTATTAAGGATCAGTAAGGATAAAGCAGATGAAAAAACAAATAAAAGAATAGAAATTTATTCTGGGTGCATGTGGGATGGCTTTCAAGATTTGATGTACTTCTGGTGGGAAAATTAAACTAATTTTAAATTACAATCATAAGATTTGAGTTAAGAGAGAAAATATACCATCATAAGATTCAAGTTGAGAAAGAACATCTTGTCAACTGCCAAATACTATTTTCACATTATCTTTCTCACCCCAACCAATTCGAAGCATGCATTCATAGACCTCAGGATGGGCCTCGACAATTGTCTGTGTGGCTGGAGCATACTGTTGAATGGCTGTATCAACAAGGTCGATTCCAAATCCAATGTTTAGTATATGATCACCTCCAGAGCAAACAGCTTTTTGCATGAGCTTCCATCAAAGGTTTCTCCCAAGTCATCATGAGAACCTTGCTATTTGAGTCCATCAACTTATCCTCACTAAAAGAAACCCTATCTTCCAAGTAAGCATCATTAGAATCAGCATCCTTTTCTGTTTTCCTCACAATGGTTCCCAAAATCAACTCAGCCTGAATTCCTGCCAGTAAAGAGACTTAGTGATCCATATAGAAGACTCATTTTCCAGAAAGGCAACAAGCCCAAACCAACATTTGTCCAACATTATTGAATACATACATGTATAATCAGCAACCACAGAAAAACTATAATTGAGGTCTTGATGTCCACGATAACCATGCAATGCCCACGCCAGTGACAATGTCCATTGTTCTTTCTTGGTGTGTGAAATTGCACGTGTTGTTAAGTTAGATGTTAAACGGAAAACAACTCATTTTGTAGGTTGATGTGTAACTCCGGGATCAATAAAATTCAAGCAAGTGCTTTCAAAAGAATTTTTCAAGACTCTTCATTTTCTCACCTCTGTGTCTTGACAAGGTTTGCCATTATCACTTGACTTACAAAACAAATTCCATACACCAACAAATCTAATGCATGCATATGATTCACTGGTTTCAATTATTCATTTCAGCTGCCCATCTATCCTGGGCCTTCCATTACTGAAATTAAGAATCTATTCCATTGACAATGTTAAGCTCCGTAACACTAGGTTTTCATCTTTCTTTGCCTTTCCTTTTCTATATATCTAAGAAATCCAAGCGATCTAACCCAAAAATACTTGATGAACCATTGAACCATCAAGGACAAGGATTCAACTAGTATTGATCCTAAAAAGCCAAAATTTATGATGAATTTCATTAAAATTTCAAACTTCAAAGTACACATAACAAAGGAGTAAACAAATGGAAGAGAAATTACCCAATTACCAGCATTTAGGAGGACTTCAAATGCATCTTGTTGACCTGACCCCATAGCGAAATCACCAGCCGAGAGATTTGACGGAGAAAGTGCGTTCCATGGCGCACCAGCCCCAAGCAACGCCTAAACTACACCGGCCGTCTCCTGAATCTATCAAAGCTCTAACCTTTTCAACGTCGCCGTTCCTTGCCGCATAGCACAGCTGCTCTCCTTCTGCTACCATGTCTCCGGTTACAGATTGAATGAAAGCTACTAAGCTAGAGACGAAAACCCTGCCGCCATTGCTGCTCGGATGTGAAAAAGAAATTAAAAAAAAAAAAACAAAAAAAAAAAAAAAAAAAAAAAAAAAAAAAAAAAAAAAAAAAAAAACTGAAAATTATGGTGTATTCTTACAGTTTCGTCCTCTGAGGTTTATTGTTATTCAATAAATCCCATTGAGTTTTTCTAGATTACAATTTACCCCTTCTTCTCGAACAAACCATCGCACGGTGCCGTTTTGTCTTCTCAACGCGCGAAATTTTTTGGATCGTCTTGCCAACTCAGCTACTATTATTTATGACGATCATGTGAATGTCGTCACCTTCCTTTCTTTTCCATTATTTTTCCTATTTTCTTAACGTCTCCTCCTCCATCCTCTCTGTCTCGCGGTGGCGATTCGGAACTCGCTAACACGATTCGTCGATCCGCGCAATCAACGTTGGAGCGAAATTTCTGACGAGATTAGAAAGGACGACTGTTAATCTCGCCCTTTTTTTTTTTTTTTTTCTTGAAGATTTTATTTCGTTGGGATTGTTGTAATTGAGCAATTAATTAATCGAGGCGGGAGCCGTTATTTTTTTGAATGGCTTCGAGTTTTGATCGGTGGGAGAAGGATCCTTTCTTCTATGCAGCGGAGGAGGTTCAAGAATCTGCAGACAGGTACCATTTTCCAATTCTCTTTTAGTATATTGTCGCATTTTTAGGGTTTTCCAGGGATTTGAGTCGTTAATTTCGAATCGCATTCTGTTATTTTGTTTTCTTGAATGATTGTGCATTTCAACCAGAAAACAAGGAAATGTGCATTTCTTTTGGTTTTGTAGAAAATAGATGAGAAGAAGACGAATTAACTGATAATTTTGAAATTTATCTTTAGGTCAATTTCAAGATTCATAAGTTTAATCGTTCAAAAAAAAACTTTTTTTGTATAGATTTCTTGAGTAAGAGTAAGCATTGTTTTCCTAAGCAATGCATTTGTTATTGTTTTGGCGTCTGAGTTAGAATGTGATACTGATATCTGCGTCTTATTTCTTATTTTTTACATTCTAAAGGATGGAGTCTACCTATAGAACATGGCTTCATGCAAAAAAGGACACTTCTGATACGTGGAAGTTTGAGGAACTACGCAGGGATCTAAATACCACCCTTGGCACAACCAAATGGCAGGTAATCCCACTCTCTCCCCTTCTTTGTATCACTATGCTTTGGGGTTTGTCCCCTTATTTGTGCATCCACCATTTGTAATTGGGTCAGCTCTGGTAATTCTATTCATATTGGTTGTTTACTGGATAATAGCTAGAGGAGTTTGAAAAGGCTGTCCAATCAAGTTACAAAGGATGCTCCAGCGAGGGTGCAAAAGATAGGCATCTTCAATTTATTGCTGCTATTGAGGACCAAATTGCAAATATTGAAAAATCATTGCGGGAATCAGCCCTTTCAGATGGCAAAACAACACTTCCTTGGGTGCAGTTAGACAAAGGTGAACGAGATGAACTCGCTTGGTTCCTGTCAGCACCATCACAGTCTGAGGACAATAAAGATTCTAACAGAAATGGCAAGGATAATGAAATCCCACAAGAAATGGAAAAAGAACCAGTGTCTAATTCCTTAAAGAATTCAAGACGTTCAGTTGATTGGGGTTCTTCAGAAGCTAGGGGTGAGAAGTCGCATGGGCATAGGAGGACAGCTAGTGCTAGTGCTGACATTGGTGATTGGCAAATTGTAATTGCTGATGCTGGTTTCCAGCACAATCCTGCCAAGGGGCAGCCTCCTCTTCCACCAAGAAAAATACCAAGTTTCTCTAGATTCCTAAATTCCATGGAAACTGCATCAAAGTTGAAGTGGTCAATGAATGGTGCTAAGAAGTGGAAGGCAGTAGACTGCCAACAAGAGACTGATCTGGAATTATTGCGATCTCCTCAGATGACTAGGGTGAATATTCTGTTGCTCAACTAAAGAAATTCATTTATTGATGTATCCTTTGATTGTCACATTCTGTGCTGTGTGAGTAATGATTAGAAGTTTTATTCACTATGTTCTTTACCAGGGCATCAATGCATGCTGTGAAAAAAGTAAGAGTAGCCTAGGCTGCGATGATTGTTATGATAAGCAACTGCATCGCTGGTATGGAGCCATTCAGAGGCAGCTTCAAAGGTCTCAGTATCAAGTGCAACACAGTCGGGTTATTAAAATAGCCTTTTCAATTGTCCTCTTCATTTGCCTAATTGGTGAGCCTGCCTAAATTTCCACCAGATATTTTCTCTTATCACTTGACTTGTTTGCTTATATGTTTGGCTTGCAAGTGTATTCACTTGCAGATTGCAATCATTTAGGCATTGCTTTGATATCTATTGTTCCTGGTGCATAAATCTTATGTATTGTATGCATGCATTTTATATCGTCATGGGCTTCTTGTCGATGCCATTCCTCTTCCTCTTGTTCCACTGAGAAAGTGTTTTGTGTTGCTCCTTAGCTTTCTTGTGGTACTTTGTGCCTTTGTGGATTGAGATTTTATTTTTTCTCAGCTGTTAGAGAAGTTGATGTCTGTGCCAAAACCAGAGAGAGGTTTTATACATGGTTTAACAAGCCTTGTTAAAGGATTGAGTTTTCAGCACAATGTTCTTTCTGATATCTAACAGCATTCAATACTTATTAGTAGTAGTCCTTGTGGTACTTCACTGCTATGATACCAAGAAAATTAGAGCTGAGGTCAAGTATCTTTGATCTTATGCAATCCAAGCATATAGACAAAATGTATAAAAACAAATTGCTTTCTTGTTATATTCTTTCACGTTATGGTACTACTGTTTTGCCTCCAGAGTCCAGATTTATTTATGGTTTAATAGGAATACTTTAGCCATAATGCATGTCTTGGTTAAATTTTAAACCTTCGAAGGTGAGTTCATAAAGCCTATGGGACTTACATTTGATTGTTTATATGCAGTTTTACTCGCAATTGAGTTTTGACTTCAATGGAGAACAAAGGTTGTGCAATTACAGTTAGGATCCAAGTTTTCCATACTAGTTATGCAACAAAACGACGGCTCATTTGACCGACGGACACCACCCCCACCCCCCAAACTTTGGCTGTGCACTGTATCTTGTATTCCCCTTCCAATTTTGATTTCCTGATGAAGGGGCAACTTCCGTTGTATTATTAAGGAGCCCATCAATGGCAGAGAAGCTAGACCAAGGTTTCAGTCCAAGAATGTTACCTTGAAAATGTTGATGTTGTAATATATTATCCTTTTTCTCTCCCCTCATTGGATCTGAAACTTTTATTCTTGTATCCAATTCAATTTTCTTACCATATCAAATTCAGATTTCGCTCGTGTACTTTCTACAGCGGTTGTTTCATGTTTGTGAAATATAACATTTGGCAAGTAAACAATTTAACGCATAACTATATCAAGGACATCCAAATTTAATCCCCATAATTATTTTCAAGTAAAAAACAACACCATAACATTCCAGAATTTTAAGGTGCATATCCGGTTTATCTCCGAAAGTACAGATCAAACTTAGGTGGCCTAATTAGACAATTTGCGAGGCATATCTGTAACAGAAGTAGGAACCGGCGACCAAGAGCGGCACGAAGAACTCCAGGAACGCAGCGTATTTGGGCGACTGGTCGCCCTTGATCACAAAAGCACTCATCTCTTTCTTCTTCGGTTCCTGAGCCAAAGCACCCTCGGTGCCGTCCGCCTCCTTGATAACGTAGCCTTGTAGAACTCCCACCTGGTACTTGGCCAGCATGTTCTGCGCCGCGTTGCTGTGTCCGATATTGATGAATTCCTTGGTCGCATCCTTGCCGGCTACCTCCAACAGCACCTCCTCTCCTCCAGGGTGATCGTCCAAGAAACTCGTCACGTTCAGTACCTATAAAAACACAAACCCTGATTAATTACTCATCCGGATGGTGATCTGAAATGAAGGAGAGAAAGGAAACAGTGGAAGAGGATTAATTACTCTGCCATTGATGACAAGCCAGCAATCCCTCTTGGATTTGTGTTGCGAAACCTGGGAGAGGGTGAAAACTCTCTTTTCCGCCATTGTCAAGTCGGTTAGTTTCTCCGGCGTTAATCAGTGTGAGGATAGACTATAGATTATACTAATTCGCTGGCCAATTATTTATGCTGACTCCGGGCCAATTTTTTGGTGAAGAAACAAAGAGGAGGTCGTCGGGACAGATACGATTGAGCACGTGAGCTGCTACCACTCTCTCCATCCACTCCTGATGAAGAGAACGGTGCGCACGTGGCTCAACAACGAAAATCTGAGTCTCTATTCAGTGATGACCCCCGTAGAGTGTTAGTTGGTGAGTAGCATTGGCCAACAGGAAACAATATTGATAGGCTTGAATTGCTTTTTATATTAATTTGCACGTTCAATGTAGCCTGTAGGAATGTGTGAGGCAAATTGACATAGACATCAGAGATCAGCCGTTCCAGGGCACAACAAATACTTTAACAGGGTAGTTGTCAGGTTTTGACAGTGTCAAACTTGAACTTGGCTAGTTGACTCTACCAGACAACTCGAGTAGGCTCAATCTAAGTTTGTGCTAGTGTAGCAAGTGTAGCTCGATTAAGGATGAATCCTTACAAGAGCCTAGGGTGCAAACTGGAATAATCAGTTTGCGAGACTTTGAGATAATGAGTTACAACAAAATCATTTGCAAGAATGACGCATTTTATTTGCAAGCAATTCTTGGATGGTACATGTAAAAGGAACATGTAAAGATGATTGAACTGCTTGCAAATTCTATTGACATACAAATAAAACACTTCTTTTGACATTAATGTAAGCTCTGGTTAATTTATTTTCAATTAATTGTTGGGAATACACGAATGATTACACATAAACAAGTTTTGTTTTCTGTTATCAAAACTCAGTTTGTGCTGTAATACTACCGCGAACCATGGATTTCCTTGGTGCCTTTTGTTTTTGGTGTATCTTTAAACTCACTCTTGTTTTGTTGCTGATTCTCCCTGCCAAATTCTAAGCCTTGGAATGTAACCCTGGATGACCGATACTGGCTACCAAAGGCAGTCCCAAAGCCCCATCCCAGGCCCAACCCGATCCCACAGCCACCACCTTCCAAAGAGAAAAAGAAACAAAATAATAGGTGAACTAATAGCCGAACATGGTGAGCTAAAATATATTAAAAAGCTAGAAACTAGCAAAATAGATTAACTCAGTATCGAGTTTTGAGCAAATAGTGTAATTTTCTACCTGCACCGAGACCTAAAAAGTTCAAAGGCACACCTGCAGGGAAAAAAAACACATTGGAGAAAAAATTACTCAGAATGCAGATATGAATATATGATAATGCATATATTACATCATATGGAAGAAAAATGATATAAGCTGCATAAGAACTAACAAGAATTCTCGTAAGATGTAACATAGAATACATCAGTTTAGAGACCCAAAGTAATCATCCAATATACATTTATAGAGTTTCACAACAGAAGTCATCAAATGTTAAAATGTTCATTAGTTGCAATCTATTGTTTTCTAACAACAGAGGTCTACTGCATCATGGGAGCAGAAGCGTATGTAATGTCAAACTTGAAAAGTTGTGACAATTGTCTACAAGTTAGTTGAAAACAAAACCAGAATGCATCTTAAATTTATTAAGTATCTCTTTGACAAAAACTAGTTACGTTGCCATGAAGAAGAACCCTTCCTGAACAAGATGCTAATTTTCTAAACCTTCAATTGCACAAATTTAACACTGTCAAGAATGCTGACTGAGGGTAAATAAATTATATGAAACAGACAAAATAAGGTGGCTTCAATTTGGGTTTTTCCACTTCTGCTTTCTGAGGAAGTTACGAGTTTCCTTCAATTTTTTAAGGAAACAATAATTGAGTCATGAGAAGTTCTTACTGTATACCATACCAAACACAACAACTTTAGACACAAACTAGATCGTGAGAAGTTCTTCCAAATAAAAGGCAACATTACCTAAGATGTTTAGGCAAACTGCATTACCAACTTCCTAAATGAACAGACAAACCTCAATTATCATCACTTTCTAACAATCTACATCCAATCTCTTTCCAAAACAAACTGATCGACAGTAACAGAAAATCAGGATGAAGATGGTTTTCTACAATCCAAAAATTTGTCAAGGAAGCAAAAGACAATAGACACAAAACAACCCAAATTGACTCATCATGAAGACCATGTTTTCTCCATGAAAATGCTTTAATCCTTGCAGAATCATTTCGAGTCGGAAACCTTTAAAATGAAGTGACTTACTGCAAGAACACAAGATTTCTACACAAGACTTAGAGTCTTGGACAACAGAGTCTTATGTCCAAGTTCAAAAGGCAACCAATAACAATCTCAGCAATCAAGGGAAATCTTCCTGAGCCCAATTTTAATGCCTCATAAAACATAATACTTTACTGTAGACTGCTTTCTTATGATCAGATACATCACCAGTTACCCAAAATATATATATTAATTGAGAAATCCATTCCGGATTTCAGTACAGTATAACTTAAGTTAGGCTCCAATTTATGTAGTTTTGAAGGTAAAATAGCTAAAATTATTACCTTCTATGGAGTATGCTATTACTATGCTTCTGATTTTGGAGATAAAACCCACTTGCTCAATTTCAAAAACTCCATATGCAGAAATCTTGCAATCCAAATGTTAATTCCCAAATTCTTAAATTCCCACTTAAAGATACATGCAGCATTACCAACAAATTATTGAAAATTAGAAGTTAACTGGGAAGCATAATCATACCTCCGAAACCCCATCCTACTCCGAATCCACAGCCAATACCAAAACCTAAAATAAAAACCCAAACAAACAAAATTTAAGAAAAAATAAATAAATAAAGAAGCAAATATCATATGCATGTAGTGTGAGCCTACCAAAACCGACACCAACACCATCGAAGTTTGTAAGCGTCATTTATCCTCTGCAATTAAGTTCGAAAAATAGAAGAAAATGGGTTTAACAGTTGCAATCGAAACAAAAGAACCAGGATGCAAAACCACGAATCGATTCTCTTCTTCTCTTGCCCAGACACAGTTCCGAGATCCTGAAACTACAAAGATGCCCCTCTCCTGCTTTATATAATGACGATGATCTCCCTTTTATTTTCGAGATGGATCGTTTACAGTATTTAGGGTTAGGCCCAATATCATTTGAATTGGGCAGAATTTAGCCACCCCGTTGCTTGATCCAGTCTTGTAGTACAAACTTGTCGCTGATAAATAAAAAAATAAAAAAGAATATTCGTTCAGAATCAGAATACATGTTATTCGAGAGGCTTCCACTTCAGTATTCATAACTAAGTAAACCAAACCAGACAATTCTTCTATGGCCTCTTTGGTTTAAGGGAAAAATGTTTTGTCTGAAAATTTCGTTTGGTAAGTTGAGGAGTTTTTTTATAAATAAAGATACAGTACTTTAAAATTTAATTAAGATTATTACTTTTTAAAAGAATAAAACTAAAACTATTTAATAATTTTTGTAATTTTATTAAAAAAAATTATTTAGAATCCATTAAACATGTCTATGTGCAAATTTATTTAATTATTATTTGGTAAAATATTATCTCTTTTTTTTTGGATAAAAGGTGAATTTATTTATCTAGAAATACTCACAACATAAAGCAACATAAGAGCTGCTATAAGAGAGAAAAGACTAGGAAAAATACCTAATAAGTAATACACATTCTACTATTACCCAAAAACTAATCTGTCACAACTGTTTCAAGTCCCCATTGAATTGCAATAGCCATAGGAAGTGATGAAGACCTTGGGTGGGCAAACTCCAACATTCTAGCTCTAACCTCAAATTGAACTCATGAAGGATTCTACTCTCACTTCTAAAGAGCTATAGATGAACTCTTTTGTTTCTTTCCATCCAAATGTTGTAGATTGTGGCATTCCATGAGAGTTTGATTAGAATGCTAAGCAAAGATTTTCTTTTGGCTCTTTTCCCCATCCAATGTAATAAGTCTTGCCAAGAGTCCACAAAGGGAATATTGATCATAGTACTAATTTGCCTGCATATTGTGTTAGCATAATTGCACTTAAAGAACAAGTGCTTAAAAGTTTTTGAGTTATTATTGCATGGGATACAAGTATCCAAGACGATAGGGGTCCATTGCTTTTGTCTAGCTTTTGTAGTCAATCTATTAAGTATGCCTAGTGAACCTATGAAGCTGTGCTTAGGGATAGCATGAGGAAACCAAACAAGTTTATGCCATACCTTCCTGGGTTGCTTATTTCTCAACCAATGCCAAGTCTAACTAGTTTTGAAAGATCCAAAAGGGGAGATCAACCAAATAACTGAATCATTTTCACCTTCCCTAGGATGAATATCAAAAAGAGGTATTTGGATTTCCACCAATTGGGGAGATCTAACAGGAGGCCAATTCCAAAATCTACCACTTATAACACTGGCTAGTTGAGCTTGGGAAGGTATCCATGCTTCATGAACAATAGAGTTGCCATAAACTTCTAACAGTGGGCCAGAGGGGTGGCAATTATCATGGCAGAGATAAGTGTTCTGACCATTCCCTAGTATGTGTTAGATTAGCCCTCTCGCTAATGGCCTTAGTTTTAAAATTTTCCTTCATCCCCAAAAAGCATCAAAAGGAATGTTAATTGACCAAAAGCTTCTGCTCTTGAGTAAGTTTTCCTGGTCCCACGCAACCCAAATAGAACCTGCCTTTGAGAATAACAGCCATATAAACTTTAAAATGCAGCTTGATTCCATTGAGCTAAGTTTCGGAGTCCTAGACCCCCCCTCCTATTTTGGAGTACAAACATGCAACTAGCTCACCTTAGCCTTTCTAGCACTGTGAGTTTCATTATTCCAAAGAAAAGCACCACATATCTTTTCCACTTCTTTAATAACCAATTTAGGCAATATGAAAACAAAACACCAAAAATTGGTGATGCCTTGAATTATCGAGGAGATTAGTTGTATTCTATTAGCAAAAGAGAGATGTTTAGCCGCCCAGGAGGGCTTTCTCTCAATGATTTTAGAGACTAAAGGCTTGAGATCCTTTTTTGCAAGATGTCTTGTGATCAATAGTACTCCTAAATATCTAACTGGCAGTGTATCAATCTTAAAACCAAATTTTTCAGCAAGCAACTAGGTATGTGATGTAAATAACCCACAACAGAACAATTCTGACTTAGCATACTTCACTCTCAGGTCAGAAACCTTAAAGAAATTCGTCAAGACAGCATCAATTGCATTTAGAGAGACTAGACTACCATATGTGAATTTCATGAGATCATCACCCAAACATAACTGTGTGAGTTGCACATTTTTGCATTTAGGGTGATAAGCAAATTTTCCTTCCTCAGCAACTTTGTTCAACATACAAGAAAGAACCTCCATGCATACCACAAAAATGTATAGAGATAAGGGATCCCCTTGCCTAACTCCTTTCTCTCCTGAGAAATAACCATATAAACTTTCATTGAAAACCACAAATAATTTAGGAGTAGTCACACAAATTTTAACTAAATTGACAAATTGACTAGGAATGCCAAGAGAGTAGAATTTGGAATATAAAGTCCCAATATACTGAATCAAAAGCTTTCATTAAATCAATCAATTTTCATTAAATACTATCTTTAGTTATAAACATTTAAAATATAATAGTCTTGATCAGCCAAAAATGAAAAAAATAATAATATTCTTAATTATTGAAGTTTGAAAAAGGCGTACCTTCATTTCTACCAAATCTTGAAAGTTGAAACTTGAAACTTTTGTAATTGATTCCCAGTGGGAAAATTTTTGCCGTCTTAAAAGGTGGGAAAAATATCAAAAATCGAAAGAAGCGAATTTAGCCTTTGCCATGAAACGGACCACAAATGCACTTTATCTCTTCAACCAAACATGCCATTACAAGGAAATCCCAGAAACAACACACAGGGCTTCCCTTACTCTCCCCTCAATCTTTTCCCAAATTTACAATCCTTATTTTTGACCAAACAGACACAACAACAAAAACCCCATTTTTCCTAAGGCACAATTTTATAAGCCTTCATCTTATCAACCCAAGAAATGAACGCATTCTTGGAGTTTCTGAACCCCAAGAACCCATGCTCCTTGCTCTTGTTCATGCTTGCTAGCGGTGCCTGGCCTCCCAGCACCCAATCCACGAACCACCAGCCACCCACCTCCACCAAGCTGGTCTCCTGCAGCTGATTCTCCCTCACTACCTCCTCCCACACTCTCTCTTTTCCCTTCATCATCTCTGACAACCCCAGATTTTTTCCCTCCTCGAAACCATACTCCTCTATCCCAAATTGCTCCGCCAGCACCTTCCACAACTGCTTCCACCGGTACACGTCTCCGTTGTGTACATTAAATGCTTCGTTCCTCGCGTAAGGATCCACTGCTGCCCATATCTGGTGCTCCGCGATCAAATCCGCATCCGATGCGTTCGAGTAGCATTCCCAGGCGGCTTTGCTGCCGGGAAATAACAGTGGTTTCCTTTCGTGCTTGCATATTGCGGCATAGACACAGAGAGTGCCTATGAGGTTCATCATGCTGTAAGGAGAAAACCCCCATATCACATCCGGTCGGTGGACCGACCACGTCAAACCCTCCTTTTTCTCCGCCTCTTCGAACAGAACATCCTCCAGAGTGTAGTAAAAATTGGGCGCGTTTAACCTGGGTAAGTCCTCCGTGAAAGGCGGATCATGGGACTCGATCTTTCCGAACAATTCGAAGGGTCCGATGTAGTGTTTGGTCCCCGTTTGGAGACAGATGTGTCGGAGATTGGGCGCGTTGGGAATCACCGTCCGGAGCACGTTGCGGAGCATGGCGCCGTTGGCTTCGATGTTCTCTTCCTCGGTAGATCGGTTGGCCCAGGTGGCATAGAAGACGTGTGTAACGTCGGTGAGCTGGGATAGCTTGGCTTCTGTATCCGCCGGATCGGATACATCACACTGGATGTACTCGATCGGGTGATCGGCGTTCCAATTCGGCCTTGGCCGCCGCGCCACACCGTATACTTTCCATGGGCCACCGGGGGTGTCAGAAAGCGGCAGGATTTCGGCCAGGCTATTCCCCACGATTCCCGTCACCCCGACCACCAGTCCCACACTCTGGTAGCTTCGCGGCGCCTCATCTTCGTCAAATTTCTTCTGCAAAATCAAACATGGAACAGAAATTTATCCAATTCTAATAACGTAGGATAAAAAAGGACACCCAGAGAGGGACTTTTCCATACCTTGGCAGCGCCGATTGCACCAGCCCACCACCAGCTCATTCTGAATCAGAATCGCAGAGACAGAAGTTGAAAAGTTGAAACGAAAGATTGCAAATAAAATTGAAAAGAGGATGATTGCTATAGAAGAAACGGAATAGTAGGTGGATGGATGCTCTAACCGTCGGTCTTCAGTTAATCTGAAATTTTTGATTTGAGGTTGAGTGTGGGTGGCGTTTGGTTTCAGAGCTTCAGCTTATAATAGGAGAGAAAGGGGCCACAGGACATAGGGAGAGGAGGCGTAGATAGGGTATTTCTGGTAGGTGACGAGCAATCAATGACAAAGCAAATGTAATTTTATTATTATTATTTTTTTAACATTTTGTCGTGGACCGATTTGAACCGTTGTCATGTGAGGAAAATATGAATCTTACAAGCGTGGTTAGAGTCAATTGATTTGAAGGATCAGATTCAAATGTAATTTTATTTTATTTTTTTTACAAGAACAATAACTAATAAATTAATAAGTTAATTTTATTAATTGTTAATAACTAAAGATTGATATCAAATCTGATAAATATTCCCTTCCCTCGATTAGGCGGCGGCCATCGGCTCGTTTGATGGAGTTTGTAAATGTAATCTTAAGTTTTGAGCAATGCTAGGGCACTCGCTTTTTGCACTCTCCGGCCAACACTGCCCCTTTCATTGGGCCACATAAGCTTCTTTAAAGCTTTCAGGTGAACGTCTTCCGGAACCAAAATAACGTGGCCCAATAAAAGAGAAAGTATTGGCCGGAGAGTGCAGGAGGCCAGTGCCCCTAGCACTGCTCTTAAGTTTTAACTAAACACTCATCCTTGATATTTTCTGTCGAGGGAATCATGTTTTACACGCCAAATTATACTTTAAAATTGCAGATTGATTTATTAAATATTTTTAATAAAATAATATAATTTTATTAGAAATATTTTAATTAATTTATAAGTTAAAACGTCAAATTATACATATAATTATGCATTTTTAAATTATAATTTGATCTGTCAAATATTTTTTTTTCCAACCAATGAGGCGGCTTCTTTCTTTTATTTTATTCAAATGATCAATGAATTATTTTAAGAAAAATAAAATTAAAATTAAAATTATATTTTTAATAAACATTCTTTAAGTCTTTAATGATATTTTATTATTTTTATTAGTTTTTAATATTTTAATTATTACAATAAAAAATTATTTTACAATTCAACTTTTATCGGATTATAAAGCAATAACCTTGAGAAAGACCTTTGATATTGTGTCTTTTCCCAATCTCAAAACTTTAATTTTGTATTTGATATAATATAAATTATAAAACAGAAATATTTAGTAAAATATCGCATTTTCCTTAATCTTTTATTATATCTCACTTTTTATATAATAATGTTATATTTATAATATTATATAAAATTATAAATACATATTTATAATATAATATTAAATAAATATATATAATTTTATGGGCGAATTAATGTGAAATAAGGTAGTTATATAATTATATACCTATGACATCGCAATAAACACAAACTTCACCCAGATAACGATTTGCTGCCATTGAAGAGACAGAAGGGGAGGAGAGAGATAGAGAAGAGGAAAAGAGAGAAGGAGGAAAACAGCCGAATAGGGCAAGAGAAAAGAGAGCAGAGGAGGAAGATGAAGATTTTTTTTTTCATTTTTTTTTATGAATCTGATTTGTTATTTTATTTATATAAAATTAATTAAAATGCTAGCAATTTTATGTTGAAAAGGGGCTGAGGGTTATGGATTAACGGAATATGGACCGGCTATCGTCCATTTCGGGTCAATTTTCTTTTATTACATGTAGTTTAGGAGCTAAATTCTTTAGAATAATAATAGAAAAGATGAATATTTAGAATTAATGATGTGCTATATATCATTAATAATTTAAGTAATTTAATGGTTATTTTTTCTAATTGAAAATGAAAAATCTTGAGTTTGAATCGTTATATGACATGCGGGTGAGATCAGAAAAGAGATCTTAAGTTTGAGTCGTCGTATGGTATGCAGATGAAGTCAGATAAAGAACGAAAGATGGTTATATTTTTTTGTGCAATTAAGATAAAAAAATGATGTGATATATATCATATTATTAAATTATTAAATTAGTTAATATATATAATAATATAAATTTTATAAAAATAAAATAATTAATTATTAAATAATATAAGATCTAGTTTCTAATATTTTAAATGATATAGTATTAATCTTAAATTCTGATATTAAATATTAGTCTTATTTACCATTATTCATTTTCTTATAATGTATGTTGGGGGTTGGTACCCCTAAAGATAGTAAGTTAGAGGGCGTCTTATGGGGTCAAACTAAATTTTATTATAAAATTTATTAATTTTTTATACAATAATTTTTGGGTTTGTATTTGTTTTTTTATATCTTAAAAATTAAGAAAAAAATTACTCTTAAAATATATCATTTTAATCACCATAAGAAAATATTAAAAATAATTTTTAATATTTTTTAAATTAAAATTTTAATGACAATATTAATATTTATCTATAATATTTTTAAAAATAAAAGATAAAAAGAAATTTTTTATAATTGAATGATTTATTAAAATGAATGAATAACAATAGAGTTAAAAAGAAGAAAAAAATATTTATCATTATTAAAATATGAAAAAGTAATAATTAATTTAAAATAAAATAAAA